GGAAAGGTAAGCCTCGGAGCCCCAGAAAGAGGCTGTCAGCCCCAGAAAGAGGCTAGTGGGTGTTGCAGGATCAGGGAAGTAGAGGGAGGTGAGGGCGGGGCAAGGTCTAGAAGCAGTGCTCCTAGGGCCCAGGGAAGGCACTAAGTTGGTCTGGGTGAAAAAGATCAGGAAGCAGTATTGGTTCCCCAGGTGTCTGGGGACCCAAGACTAGGAATGGCGCAGGGCCCAAACTAGTAGAGAGCAGCGGGGGAGATGGAAGGGTGAATGTGACTGGGGGAGTCAAGGCCCGGAGGGCTGCGCTATAGACTTACCCCAAGAGGCCTGAGAATAGGAGTGCAGGCTAGGAGAGTTAGCTGGTGGTGCAGGTCCCGGGAAGCAAAGAGAGGTGAGGGCAGGGCAAGGTCCAGAAGCAGTGCTCCTGGGGCCCAAAAAGGCACTAAATTGTTCTGGGTGAAAAGGATCAGGAAGCAGTATTGGTTCCCCAGGTGTCTGGGGCCCCAAGACTTGGAATGCAGCAGGGCCCAAACTATGAGTAGAGAACAGCGGGGAGATGGAGGGGTGAATGTGGCTTGGGGAGTCAAAGCGCGGAGGGCTGCGCTATGGACTTAACCCAAGAGGTCTGAGGATGGGAGTGCAGGCTAGGAGAGTTAGCTGGTGGTGCAGGTCCCGGGAAGCAGCCTAATTCTTTTCTTTTTCAAGTCATTTTATTTCAAGCCTCTGATATGCTAATAATATGAAATAACATTTTCCATGACATGAAATTGTATACCTGTATGGCTGACCACATGGTTTCCATTTCTTTATGATTAAAAAAGTAATAAAACACTACATGAAGGCTGGAGAGATGGCTCAGTGGCTAAAACACAGGCTTCTCTTGCAGAGGACCTGGATTCAATTCTCAGCACCCACACAGTGGCTAACAACCATCCATAACTTCAGTTCCAGGTCCGACTCCCTCTTCTGGCCTCCACGAGCACTGCCTGCCACATGGTACACTTTCATACATGCAGGCAAACACTCATACACATAAAGATAAATTTTTTAAAAATTTTAAAAACTACTATGATTGATACTTTCAGTCACTGGGGAATTATCAACAGTGGAAAAGACAGCTTGTTACCATTCTCTTGTCTTTTTCCTTCTTATACATTTAGTTGGTAAATTTTTTTGGCTATAAGTACATTTTCCTGGTTATGCAGTAAGTGAACGTCTGTTCCAATGACTTTTTGTTTTTATTTATTTTATTTATTTTTTATTTTTATTTTTTGGTCTTTTTGAGACAGGGTCTCCCTGTAGCCCCAGCTGTCCTGGAACTCACTATGTAGACCAGGCTGGCCTTGAATTCACAGAGATCCGCCTGCTGGGATTAAAGGCATGCACCACCACACCTGGCTCCTATGGCTTTTTGTAAACAGTAGTCCTTACCTTCTAAGTGGTCTTTTACTGTATATTTCCCTTTTTGATCTTCAGAGTCAAATGAAATCCCCTTACACTTATTTGGCAGATTTTCAGAGATACCCTTCAAAAATTAACATTCATAATTAGTTACATAAAGACTTCCTAATTGTTTCATAAGAAGGTTTCCAAATTTACTATTTAAAAAGCCATTTGTAGCCAGGTGTGGTGGTGCACGCCTTTAATCCCAGCACTTGGGAGGCAGAGGCAGGCAGATCTCTGTGAGTTCAAGGCCAGCCTGGTCTACATAGTGAGTTCCAGACCAGCTGGGGCTACAGGGAGAGCACAGTGTGTATAGAGCAACATTGGGTGGCATGCACATTTCAACAAGGAACTACACTTAGGTGTCTGCCTCTGATTTCTATTTCCATTAAATGGCTTTATAAGAAGCACTTTCAAACAAAATTTTATATGTCTACTGTCTTTAATATTGAAGCAGACACAGAAAATCTATTACTTTGAGACAATGTCTTTCTATGTGGCTCAGGCTGACCTCAAACACAATATGTAGCTGTTGATGACACCAGCACACTGTTCACCTGCCTTGGCCTCCCAAGTGCTGGGATTATAAGTCAGTACAACCATAACCAGCAAACATCTAAAATATTTCTCATGGCATATGGTACGTGCTATGATGAGCAGCTTTAGAATAGTTCTTTGTGAATGTAAGCACAAGATAATAGAACCTTCTTTGTTTAGGTAAACATGAATTTAGACAATCTAGATATATTGTAGAAAAAATACTAATGGAAGATGGTTGACTAAAACATGAAAGCAGTAAGAAAATCTTTTTATGTTATATTAAAACACATGCAGGGGCTGGAGAGATTGCTCAGTGGTTAAGAGCACTAACTGCTCTTGCAGAGGACCCAGGTTTGATTCTCAACACCCATATGACAGCTAACAACCATCTGTAACTCCAGTTCCAGGGGATCTGATGCCCTCCTCTGACCTCTGTGGGCATTGCATGACATGGATGGACTTACATACATGCAGACAATACAATCATACACATAAAATAAAAATAATACATAAAGTCTGGCATGGTGGCACATGCCTGTAGTCCCAGCACTTGGGAGGCAGAGGTAGGCAGATCTCCATGAGCTCAAGGCCAGCCTGGTCTACATAGTGAGTTCTAGGCCAGCTGAGGCTACAGGGAGATCCTATTTCAAAAAGACCAAAAATAATAATAATAATACATAAAATATTTTTTAAAACACATGCAAATAGCCAGGCATGGTGGTGCATGCCTTTAATCCCATCACTCAGGAGGCAGAGGCAGGCAGATCTCTGTGAGTACAAGTCCAGCCTGGTCTACATAGTGAGTTACAGGCCAGCTGAGGCTACAGGGAGACCCTGTCTCAAAAAGGCCAATAAACAAATAAATAAAAAAACAACAAAAAAACCCTCATTCAAATATTAGAGACACAATAGGATTCTTTTCTTATTAAAAAAGAATAGCAAATAGTATTACAAGTCTTGATAAGAAAGGACTCTCAAAAACAGTTACTTATGAAATATCTGAAAATGCCAAGCACTTTATACATTCTTTTCTCTATGTACCACAGAGATTGAAGAAATGATGTGGATGGTACATAGCAACATCCGTTCCTGCCCTCTGCTCATCACAATGTACACGATGGAACATGATGTAACATAATGATCACACATAATGAGGACTGCCTACACCATTTGGAAAACTGATAGACTGAACTTGCTGTGCTGGATAGCTTTAGTGTTAACTTGACACACCTGGGTTGAGGGAGCCTCAATTGGGGGATTGCCTCTATTGGACTGGCCTGTGGCCACGTCTGAGGGGCATCTTCTTGATGAGTGATGTGGGAGGGCCCAGCCCACTGTGGATGGTGCCACTCCTGGGAAGTGGGGCCTGTGTTGCATAAGAAAGCAGGCTGAGCAGGGGCCAGGGGAGCAAGCCAGTAGGCAGCGTTCCTCCATGGCCTGTGCACCAGCTCCTGCTTCCAGGTTCCTGCCCTGGGTTCCTACCTTGGGCTCCCTGATGAACTGTGACCTAGGAGATGTAAGCTGAATAAACCCTTTCCTCCCCAGGTTGGTATTGGTCAGAGTGTTTTGTCACAGCAATGAAGAAAAAACCAGGACACTTGCCTTCCTTAGGAAGCAAAACCAGTCTACATCTCTACATGGTATCATAGAGATAACCCATTTGATAAGTGAACAGTTTCATTAGCATAAAATCACAATGAAACTGATGTCAGCAAAACACATCCACCTTGTTCTGAAGGTGAACTTCTTCTTCCCACACCAGGATCTCCTCTTCTAACATGTGTAACTGGTCAGACATCGCCTTGCCTTGAAGTGATTCTTCATTCTGAAAAACAGTTGATATTCCTTCACCATTTGGTGGAAAACTGACATTTTCCAGAGTGAGGTTTCTGATTTCATAGCTATGGCTATTGCAATCATCAGGCCGTGACTTGTGGGATAAGTCCTACGTCAGTTTAGTTGTCTTGCACGTGTCCTGAATTTCACTCACATGACTCATTTCTTTGGAGTATGGAAGCTTCTGCTCTTCTGATTCACTAGGCTTAGGCATGTGTCTGATATCTAATGACCAGTCAATGCTTTCAGGTTTAATAGATTTTTTTCATTTGGCTCTTGAACTCATGGCTTTCTTGATTTTCATCCATAAATACTGTTGGGGTCATTATCTTTTTATTTTCTATAGTGTTAGAAGATTTCTCCTCATTTTTATTAAGAGATTCTTCCATTTGTGATATGTTACTTTCCCTGTCTAATTTATTTTCCATTAAGGGACCCTTAGCCAATGACTGGCCACTGTATTCCATACCCAAGAATATGAAGGAGATGGTAAGACATTTTCAACGTCACCTTCTTCCTGTCTGTGGTTGTTCTCAAGTGCTGTGGATAGCCATCCTGCAATCGTGTCTTGACCCTCACAGCCAAGTGTCAGTTTAGTGGACATGGACTTTAGGGATGTTTTTCCTGTGGCATTACCAGGTCGTCGCTTTTCCTCAGGATAAGCATTCCTTCTGACATCTTCACAAATCTGACCAGCCTCTGGTTTAACTTGTTCGAGGTAAGTTGTACGCTCTCTTGACACCCCAGTTTCCCTTGCTCTGTCAACATTCCCTCAAGTACTTGCCCATCTGTGAATCCTGAATGTGAAGATGGCTCTTCTTCATCAGAACTTTTGCTCATCTCTGATTCTTGAAATCTTTCTTTGAGTTGCAAAAACAAAGAAGTCATTTGCTTAGCTTGATACTGAGATTCTCTGGGTGTCAGGATACATTTTTCTAACTTATATTTGTCCTTAGAAATCACAGGATATGAACAAAGAAACATTTAGAAACATTTAATATGTACCATTTGACTTTCATAATATATATTTAACTATACAAAAATCACACAAGCAAAATTAACAAGTGAAAACTAGGGCCGGTGAGATGGCTCAGAGGTTAAAGAAGCTTGCCTCTAACCCTGGCAACCAAATTTGATCCCCAAAACCTACATCGCAGAAAGAGAAAACTAACTCCCTCAAAGTTGCCTTCTGACATCCACAGGGGTGCTGAGACATGTGCATGCCTCCTCCCCACATACACACATGTACAATAAGCAAATGTGAAGAATTTAAAAACCTGATTTACCTTAGTATAAATAGGAGGGAACACAGTCCAGCAAACTTAACACTGTTATTGCTAATCTTCATTTGGTATGTGCCAACTTTACCAAAGGTGTGTTGGGTGATTTTAAATATTACAGGAGCATTCTTACATAAGAAGATTTTACTTCACCATTCTTTTATATATATA